CAGCCAGCAAAGAATTCTGGGAGTTGAAGTCCACAAGTCTTAAAAGTGGCCAAGGTTGGAGACTCCTGTTCTAGTCGACCCTCTGCTTAGGCAGAAAATTCTATATCATTTCAGATAAAAGGTTGTCCAATTTCTTCTTAAAAACACTCAGCATTCGAGCATCCACAACTTCTGGAGGCAAGCTATTCCACTGATTAATTGTTCTAACTCCTCCTTAGTTCTAGGTTGGATCTCTCCTTGATTAGTTTCCACCCATTGTTTCTTGCCCTGTCTTCAGGTGCTTTGGATCCCACCCTCTCTTTTCTGTGGCAGCTCCTCAGATACTGGAACACTGTTATCATGTCACTCCTAGTCCTTCTTTTCATTAAGTTACACATACCCAATTCCCGCAACCGTTCTTTAAACATTTGAGCCTTCAGATAAAAAGGTTTTTTTAAAAATGTTTGTCATATCACAGTGACCTAATTCAAGAGCAAATTGGTCTGAGTTAACATTATATATTCTGCTGACCTAAGTGAAAATCTACACCATCCTTCCTGTGTTAGTGCAACCGCATCCTAAGTTATTACTGGATCAAGGAAATGGACTGCATACTAGCAAAATCCCTTAAAAATCCACTAAATTCCTTCTGAGTCCTGACATAATGGAACTTATGGTAGAATACGGAACACACATATGCAAAAACCCAGCAGCTCCTGCTATGCTTAATTAGGTTACCCACTTCATGCAGATTCAGGGAACCTGTTTATATCAATTCAAAAATACAGCAAATATTAAAGTCCAGGCATTAAAATTACATTGAGCAAAGTGCAAAATATCTGACTGCAAGGTATCAAACCTGGCGTGCTTCTAATTTTGGTTTTCTGAAATCTTATTCCTAGACTAGGCAATTCCCTCCCTTATGGCTTATATATAAGTACATCTTCATATGGTGTTACCACTTGTATGTATAGTTACCAGAGGCCAAGAACAAACAGGCTTTAGTTACCTCAATTCAACTTTTCAGCAGTATCCCTAGATGGTTCCTCAGGATCTTTTGAGAACAAGGATACTTGGGTGTCGCTTAAACATAGTGTATAAGTTCACTTTCAGGCTTGATTGATATAGAAATGTCGCTATAGTTCAGCCTCACTTATAAACTGATTGTATTGCAAGAAAACTAGGATGTGTCAAAATGGAAGCAGCCAATTTTGGGAGCTCAGTAGAAAAAAATGGGAAAAACAGCAAAATACCTTCAAGGGGAATCTAACTTCTTAAATCAAAGAATGGGGATTCTCAAGGCTAACAAAATCTTTGGGCTCTTGGGGTGCCCATTTGAACTTCAGAACAATCAGTAGTTCAATAAATTTGGAAAGACAAGTCTATAGCCTGTATCTTACTTTGAAAAGGTATCTCTAATTTGCTGTTACATAAGTTATCCAGATGAATTTAGAGAATAAAGTTTCCCGATTCTTTCAACTGAAAGGGATGGAATTTTTCTCCTATCCCACTGATCTGCCTCATTTGCTATCCACATTGAGGGTTTGCTCATAGTATCAGATGCAATCAAGTGGGGTACAAGTAATCCTCAACTTACACCCATTCATTTAGCAACAGTTCAGAGTTACAACAGCACTAAGAAAAAGTAACCTATGACTGATCCTCCCACTTATGACCATCATAGCATCCCCATAGTCACATGATCAAAATTCGGATATTTGATAACTGGCATGTATTTACGACAGGTGCAGCATCCCACTGTCATTTGGGACCTTCCCAGCCTGCTTCTGACAAGCAACATCCACAGAAAAAGCTGGACTCACTTAACAACCACATGATTCATTTAATGACCACAGGAATTCACTTACCAATCATGGCAAAAAGATTGTGAAATCAGGTGCAATTCACTTAACAATCATCTTACTTAGCAACAGAAATTCTGGTCTCAGTTGTGGTTGTAAGTTGAGAACTACCTGTAATGACTCAAAAATCTCCCTTGTCTCTTTGCTGCGTCAAACCTTAAACTGTTGCACTGGGGTACATAAACCTAGATGCATTTGGTTACAGCTTTGCACTGTATCCCCCTCCATTTAAAGAATGCCCCCATATCTTAATTTTTGGTGAATGGCCTTCAAAATCACAAAACTCAGCCCCACCCTGGACTTCCCAGAATGAGAAAACAAAGATAGGACCTTACCCTTTCCTTCTGGGAGCTATCCATCCTATTTCTGTGATCCAGCATGGGGGCAACTCTCAGCACCGACCAGGAGTCAGTGGTTAAATCAATCTGCCCAAGGTCCAGAAATAAACAAGGCCAAATGCTTTTCTTCTCTGTCTGTCTCTTTTCCCACCACACCCTTGTATGCCCTTAACAAAAAAGGCAGCTTTCCTTGTTCTGCCTCTTGACGTTATTCCACTGTCTCTGGTGGCTTTATGTCAGGCAAAATGTTACTTCATCTCCTTTGGAAAACGACGTTTGAAGCGATGAACTTTCTGGTCTCTGGGTTTCTCCTTGCCTGGGGATTTCTCTGACTTTGTTCCTCTCAAAGTCACTTTGTGGGGTGTTGAGCAGATATCTCCCTTGCCCAAAAATCCCTTTTGTCCATCAACATTTTGAAGACAAAGTCGTGAGCTGTTTCACAGTGAGAAAAATTGCCTCCTGAGTAACCCAGCTTGGGACGTCCTCTTGATTAAATTACTCTTCTGGACACATTACATTTATTTACTTTAGTGCTTGGAGATGCTGTGTCATTTCTGCGGTCCACAAGGCCTACTTCCGGGGATGAGTCTCAAGACTAACACTGCATTGCCATAGTAATGGATGAAACTCTTTTGCAGTTCCACTGCACATCAACTCTCTCCATTCTATTAAAGCTGTCATGTGGAAGAGCTACCATGGAAATAGGGCTTAATTCAAATGGACATAGCAACCATATTATTTTTTTAGCTGTCTCTGCCAATTAATTGCCAAGCTTAGCAACCTGTAGTTGGTCATCAGCATCCTTCTCTGAAAGGCGGAAGGTCAGTGGGCATATATTTATGAAAAGGGAGAAAGGCGTTTCCACAACCAACCTGGAGTTAGCAACATCAAGCGAGCATTTCCTAGAATGAAGTACCCGTTTCTCTTGAAATAGCTTTGCAGTTAACTCATATCTACCCTCAATACAGGTAGTCCTCGACTTACAACAGTTCATTTAGTAACCATTTGAAGTTACAACAGCACTGGAAAAAAAACCAATGAGCATTTTTCACACTTACAATGGCTGCAGCATCCCCATGGTCACATGATAAAAGTTCAGATGCTCAACAACTGGCTCATATTTTGCCAGCTTCTGACAAGCAACGTCAATGCAGAAGCTAGATTCACTTAACAATTATATTGCTAAATTAACAAGTGAAGTGATTCACTTAAAAACTGTGAGAAGAAAGATTGTAATATGGGGCAAAATTCATTTAACAGGTGTCTCACTTAGCAATAGAAATGTTGGGCTCAATCGTGTTGTAAGTCGAGGACTACCTGTATTTTCCAAAGCACCAGAAAGCTAGACAAGAAACAATGAATGGAAATTAATCAAGGAGAGGTGCAACCTGGAATTAAGGAGAAACTTCCCAACAGTGAGAACAATTAAATAGGGTCTCCTACTTGAGCAGGGGGTTGGACTAGAAGATCTCCAAGGTCCCTTCCAGATCTATTCTGATTGATTGGAATTATAACCTGAGCAGGTTCCACTGTTGACAGATTAGTACAATTAGGAGGAGGAATAAAAAAGAGCCAGTCCTATTGTGAGTTATGGAATCAAAGAGGAGGGTGTCCATGTTAAATTAATCCATTTGGGTTGGAGCTAATCTTGACACCTCTTGGTTGGTAAGTTTGGGTCTTCTGCCTTCTTAGCACTTGTACTACAAGTACAAAAGCTTCAGTCGTATAAAAAATCCAACAGTCCCAAAATGTCCAAGGATCTCCAAGAAACATGCAATTGAAGATTTGAGTGGCTTTTTATCTACAATATGTAAAATGGTAATGTTTCCTATTTATTGTGCTTCTCCCTATTTTGTCAGCTTTGCATGATATTCTTCCATGTTTCCATGAGGTTGAACTGATGTGTAATTGTCCAATTTTTGTGCTTACAGAGGAACAAACATCTTTTCAATTGCCAGTCGTGGCAAAAGACACTGCTGCAGCCACATTTTGCTGTGGAGAAGCTGGACTGTGGTGACGAGAAGGAAGGTGGAGTAAAATCTTTCATTGCACAGGTCTCAGCCATTGCACTCTCACGTGCAAAGATCCTTGCTTGCACCAAAGCAGAAATTGTTCCCCATCTATGTCATTGCCTTGTTCCTGACATTTAGAAAAAGGCATGTTGTTTTGGCATGTCATTACAGCATTTAAAACAGCAAGATCACGATACAGCAGCCCCAGAAAGTTGCAACCAACGTTCTTCTATATCCAAGAATATATCCCAGAATAGAACTGGAATAGTTCTATATTTTTGACCTTGGAGGTCTTCAGCCCCTTGCTCAAAAGCAGGAGACCCTATATTATTTCAGACAAGTGATTGTCTACTCTAGCCTCTTCTTAAAAACCTCCAGTGATGGCGCGCCCACGTCCTGGAAGCAAACTGTTCCACTAGTTAATTGTTCTCACTGTCAGGAAATTTCTCTTTAATTCCAGGTTGCTTCTCTTCTTGATTAGTTTCAATTGATTGCTTCTTGTCCTGGTGCTTTGGAGAATAATTTGATCCCCTTTTCTTTGTGGCAGCGTCCTATTCATTTGGACTCAACTGTGGTCGTGCATTTACAAATCCTATTCACGGGGCACTCCACGAGGACAGTCTGACAGCGGGGGATTCCGAGAGATATCCACCCCACCCCTCCCCCCGCCGCCACACGCTGTCTCTCCAACAGCTCCGAGCAATGTCCAGCCGCGTACGCGGGGCGACTCTTCCCCTTTCCTAGCTCTACATTTTTCGTAACTCTATGGCTCAGCCGGCCGTCGAGTTGGCAGCTCTTCCGGCTCCTCTGTCACGGGGTCAAAGGGCGTGCCGGCTTCCGCTTCCATCACTGTTTCGGGCCGCTCAGCGTCTCTGAGGCAACGCGGGGCTGAGCCGGGCTCCCTTCGGGTCGTGAGGTGGGTCCTTGCGGGAAGCGAGGCGGCCTACCGGGCGGGAACGAGGAACCCCACCCCCACACTGGTACTGTTACTGCCTTAGAGACCTCCCTGGCTGGTTGGACACCCACGCCTATTATCCCCAGCCAGCTGCCTGAGGGGGTTGGAGTCGGGAAGGGCTTGTTATTAAGGGCGGCCCAGGGTGTGTTGGTTCCTTCAGGCCCAGCTGGAGACTGGAGTGGCCGACGGGGGTGCGAACTCAGCGGGGGGTGGGTGCGGACAGACATGGCGGCCTCTCGGTTTGGCTTCTGGGTTTGGGAGGGGCCTTAAAATGGAGCGTGGAAAAACAAATCTTAAAACGAACGAATGGCTCATCGTCTCCATCTTTTTTTTGGCAAAGGGCGGGCCTTTATTTCAGAAAGCAGCCCTGTGGATTGAGTCGTTTTTCAAAAACTCACTTGGGTCCTTTCTTTGAGGGTGGGGTGGGGTGGTGTTTCTTCTACAGGTAGTCCTCGATTTACGACCACAATTACCCCCCCAACCCCCCTCTGTTCTTAAGTGAGACCTTTTTAAAGTAAGTTTTGCCCCATTCTACGACTTTTCTTGCCACAGTTGTTAAATGAAGCACTGCGGTTAATAAGTTAGTAATCCAGTTGTTAAGTGAATCTGGCTTCCCCATTGACCTGGCTTGTCAGAAGGTGGCAAAAGGGGATCATGTGACCCCCAGGGCACAGCAATGGTCATAGGTTTTAACCAGTTGCCAGGCATCTGAATTTTGATCACATGACCCTGGGATTGCTTGCAGAAGTTATAACTGAAAAACGGTTGTAAGTCACTTTTTTCAGTTGCATTGTAACTTTGAACAGTCACTAAAGTTTGTTAAGTCGAAGATTAGAGTCTTTCACCTTCATGGGAAAAAATGGAAATTGAATGGTCTTGTTGAAATAAATTTGCATATAACATTTGATTGATGTATTTGTGAAGGAATATGGGAAGTTTTTCTGGGGTTTTGCTCTTGGATTTTCCTTTGTAAAGTTACATAGTTTCAACCTTACAAACCTCTTTCAGATTTGCCCCCTTTAAGTGAAGGTAGTATGTGAAGGTCACATACAGGTAGTCCTTAGCTTATGACCATCACTGACCCCAGAATTTCTGTTGCTAAGTGAAACATTTGTTAAGTGAGTTTTGCCCCAGTTTACAACTTTTCTTGCCAGTTATTAAGTGAATAACTGCAGTTGATAAATTAATGGTTTTTGATACTTTTTTCTGATGTAATTTCTAAAATCTGGTTTCCCCATTGATTTTGCTTGTCAGAAGGTTGCAAAAGGTGATCATGTGACTCCTGGACAATGCAGCTGTCATAAATATGAGTCAGTTGCCAAGTGTCTGAATTTTAATCATGTCACTATGGGGATCTGTAATGGTTGTAACTATGAAAAATGGTCATGGATCACTTTTTCTAGTGACGTAAGTTTGAACAGTCACTAAATAAACTGTTGTAAGCCGAGGACTACCTGCACTCACCTGAGAAGTCAGGAACCAATCGGGAAATGTGATGTTTAAACCGTAGACTTCTTCAAGTTAGAAAATTCAGAAGGGAAGCCTATTGGTATGGAAAAATACCTTGTGTCAACTACATTTAGAATTGGATTATCATGCAGAGGAATGGAAATAAGATAGAAGGGAATCCAGTCAAGGATTATCCATATGGGCCAAAGATGGCAGAATGAATTTTGAATAATGAACAAGTGCCAAATCATCCTGGATTGGGAGTAGATTACCTACTGCTTCCTAACTAGATCAGGCAACTTGTCCTTCAAGTTTGTAGTGCCATTTCTGACTCACCTCTGCTTCCTATGAATCAGCTGCTTTAATATCAAGATTAGTTGCAGGGTAATTTCATTCTTAATTCAGAGGACAATCATGCAGGTAAATAAGCACATTGTGTTTAATACAAGAGTTTGTTTTGCTAGCCTTTGTTTTCTGTTGTAAAAAATATCCATGTAAAAGGCTGATAGACCTCTAGTTAGGAATTCATGTTTGCCTTTATCCTTGTGGTATTTTACTTTATTATTGATTAAGGTAGGTGGTTTTTTTTTTCTTTGCTCAGGTTGTCAAGAAAGGTTGAACAGATAAAAAGATGAAGCTTTACAGTCTAAGTGTTCTTTACAAAGGTGATCCCAAAGTGCACTTACTGAAAGCTGCTTATGATATCTCATCATTTAGCTTCTTCCAGAGATCCAGGTAAGACTTCACTTCATTTTAGGATCAGCTTTCTCCCCTTGATGCTTTCCTGTAACCGCACTATGACATTCCCTTTGAATTTGTTGCATTGAATTCAAGATGTAATACTTTTTTCCCCGATGTAACTTCTAAATCCAAGTAGTGAAAAATAATGCTAAATGATAGCCCTCACATTCATGCTTCTGTTTCTAAAGTGCATCACCTCAGTATGAATTCTGTTTAGGTTTAACACTGTTTCCTATTTGAGAAATCTGAACATATACATTCATGTATACTTGTAGCTGTAAGCAGAATGCTAGCAGTTTTGAATTTGTTAGGTTGTTTCTGTTAATTCTAAATATACATGGCTAAATATAGTTTTGCATTTGACCTTTGAATGGTGGGTCTATCTTCCTGCAAAATTATATCGTAAAATGGAACTACCAGAGCTTGAAAAGAAAACAATATCAGTTTATCAGAAATCCTTTTCTCTTTTCATATTTTGAAGTTACTTGCACTCATTAAAACATACGTTGAATTCCTATTTAAAAGGATTAGTTTTTTCTATTCATTTACCCTTGGCCTTATTTTACTGTTACAGATTCGTACACTGCTTTTTAAATGATTTGTATGCTGCTTTTGAAAATCTTTTTTTTTAAAATAAAATCATATGTCTGGTGTAAGAAATCAGGAGCCAGAATGGTTCAAATGAATACAGGTTTATTACACCCAAACACTCTTACAAGATTCTGAACTACCAACTGTCAGAGCCAATTGGCAGTAGATAAGAATCAGTGGAATTCAAGATGGGCTGGACTCCAGTCTGATGATGTACTTGACCCCTCCCCTGGGCTTAGCCTGGTGGTCTCCTACCTACATCATGTGCTTTTACCATTTTTATGATGTAATTATCTTTTATTAGCAGCTGATGCTGCTAATAAAATTTATTTTCTTTACAGTGCATTTGAATATAGATGGTTTAGTAACTAATTGTGATATTTTTAAAATTATTTATTTAAAAGCGTTCAAGAATTTATGACCTTCACAAGTCAACTGATTGTAGAACGTTCAGAGCTTGGAAGCAGAGCTTCTGTAAAGGAACAAGGTAGGCATACACAGTAGTCTGCCTTAGACAGAACTATAATAAATAAGGGTGTGTATATCTGCAAATATTAAATGTAGGGCTTAACATTGAGAATAATGCAGATAATAAGATGTAGATAACTACTGCTCTCTAAGGGAAAAAAAGCATGTTGGAAGTTATCTAAGGGAATGTTCTGGATGATTTCTCTAGGTCAAATTAAATAATTGACTTTCTTAGGAATTTCTGGCAAGTTGGCAATTGCTATTATACAATAATAGACAGTGAAAATGTTACTTCTAAAACTGCTCCTCTTGGTCAAAATACTGATCACACACTGCTAATAGTTTGAGTTAGGACTACTTCATCCAAACATATTACATATTCTGATCTTTTTGTAAGGTAAATTGTAACAACAGAAGATGAAATGTGTATAGTGTTCAGTGCTGTTAAGTCTTACGTGAAAATTTCAAAAGCAAGATTCCTATTCCTTCTGCTTGGAAGCTGGATTTTCTTTTTTTCCAAAATGAATCTTATGTTCAGAGTGAGACTTAAAAAGCTCAGCCATCTTGTACCTAAAATAAACAAAGGGACTGCTGAGTTGGGACACATCTGTGGTTCTTTTTCACAAATTCTGTGGAATTTTTTATGGGAAAAATGTACATTGTTCATGTTATTCTTCATTTCAGAATACCTCTGCCATGTTTATGTACGGAATGATGGTTTGGCTGGAGTGGTAATTGCAGATCATGAATATCCATCCCGGGTTTGTTTCACATTGTTGGATAAGGTAAATACCAGCTTGTGCAGGGAGGATTTGAGTATCTACAGATGGACTGCAAGATAACACAGAGTAGGTGTTTCATAGTTAAACTTGCCTTGAAATAGAGCCCTGACTTAGTTCGGACATCACATTAAAGTAATTTGCATTAATCGTATTTCATAATCCAAGCCTAGCATAGGGTAAAATGCCATTTAGAATTAATAAAGATTTTGAAAAACCAGGGAATGAAATATGCTAGATATAAAGCAGCAGCAACAAAGTTGTTTACAAAGCAATGCTCCCATTGGGACTGTCACATGTGACTGTGTGTGATGATGTAGGGGAGGTTGGTGGAGAAAAAAATGCATTAAAATGAATGTTTAAAATTCATTTCAGTCTTGTATGCTCTTGTATGCAAGCAGCATCTTTTGTAGAGAAGCATTTCCCAACCAGAGCAATTTTATGATATATTGATTTCAACTCCCAAAATGTTTAGAAATCTATGCAGGTTGAGGAATTCTGGAGCTTTAAGCCCACAGTTCTCCAAGATGCACCCAGGTTTTAGAGCTTTTTGCCTAACAAAAAATTTAAAGTAACTTAGGACCAGAAAATCTGCCCAAAAAGTCCACTAACTCTATATAAAATGCATTCACAAATTTAATTCTGTTACTTGAATTGGGTTTAAATAAACTCTTACGTGTAGAATTATTACCTCGGCAAGATGAACAACATAGAAGTCTAATAATAAACTGTTTCACTAGCATCAGATTGTCTGAGTCATTGCTGTCCATGTCAAAAGGGAATATTGTTAATCATTGTCACTGTTCTTTCTGCTTTTCATTTCATGTAGTCCCTTTCTGCTATATAATTCTAGAATTTATAAGTTCCAATATGGTGTCTGAGCTTCAACAAAAATGTAATATCTAATTTTATTTTTGGGGACTGCTGTGTAGAATTCCTTCAAAGGAATATAAGACTTCTTTGAAAATCTGCATAAAAGGATTCTTAGGTTTCTCTTGGTCTTCTGTATATAGGTACTTGATGAATTCTCTAGGCAAGTTAATAGGATAGACTGGCCTTCTGGATCTCCAGCAACGATAACCTATACAGCATTGGATGGATACCTTAGTAAATATCAGGTATGGTTGGAATGAATATAAATTGTTGGGAGAAAAAATCTGTAAAGGTTTCAGAAATCAGAAAAATAATTTGATTTGAGAATAATAGAGTTGGAAGGGATCTTGTAGGTCATCTAGTCCAGTCCCCCACCCAAGCAGGAGATCCTGGCCTACACCATTTCTGACAGATTCAGGCAGTCAAGTCTCTTCTTGAATGCTTCCAGTGATGAAGCTGCCACAACTTCTGAAGGCAAGCTGTTCTGTTGGTTGATTGTTCACACTGTCAGAAAATTTCTCCTTATTTCTAGGTTGAATCTCTCCTTGCTCAGTTTCCATCCACTATTCCTTGCCTGGCCTTCTGGTACCTTGGAAAATAGGTTGACTCCCTCCTATCTATAGCAGCCCCTCAAATATTGGAAGCTGCTATCCTGTCTCCCCCGGTCCTTCTCTTCCCTAGACTAACCGTGCCCAGTTCCTGTAACTATTCTTCATATATTTTAGCCTCCAGTCCCCTAATTTGTTTGATGCTCTTCTCTACACTGCTCAATCCAATGTCTTTTACCTTCACATGATGAACAGAAATTGATTTTATTTATACTCAGTCCACAATGCCTATAATGCGTGATTTAACCTTTAAAATTTACAATCTGTAATAGTATTATCTCCCCCCCCCCCAAAAAAAACACCACATACTAGTTTCTTGTCTGACAAGAAACCAATCTGTTCCTTGTCATTAGGCTGTTTTCCTAATATTTCTGATCTCACATTGTTGACTGCATCTGTTTTTTTTATTATGTTTCATAGTAGTGGTTGGTTGCTGAGATAAGAGCAGAGGGAATAAATATTTATCATAATAAAATCTGATGTTCAGGGCACGGTATGGCCTGAGTTTGCATGGCTTTGGTATACTTGAAGAAATTGCCTCTCCTAAATATTACATTGTAATGCTGTATAAACACAATTTTTAGTATCATGCCAAGAACATCATCAAATAAAAGTCTTTATCATTCTTTAAGAATCCTCGTGATGCCGATGCAATGACAAAAGTACAAGCCGAATTGGATGAGACCAAAGTTATCCTGGTAAGTGTTAGCATCTTGCTGTTAATATGGAGATTGCTAGATGTCGGTAAAATTTGGAAGCAGGACAATAATTTTAAAAAAGCAAATTCTAGGGGAAAACCTTAGTGAGGAGATTTATTTGGCACAGGGATCTGTGTATGGCATTCAGAGTATGGATTCAGTAAATGCAGGTCCTATTTTAAAGTCCTCAGAATCCTTTTATTTTGAGGCTGTGAATGTTATATAAAAACAAAACTTCCTCTCTTTTTTGTACATGTGAATATAGTTCTAGATGTTCCTGACTCTGGGTAGCTTTTAATTCAGTCTGTTAATGATTACATGTAATTCTTCAAGACAAGATGAAAACATGATGCAATTAGATAAAAGTAGGTCATGACTAATTTTTATCTTAGCTGTGACCTCCTTTTTGTTGGTTATTATGGTGTCGTCAGAGATGCTCAGATACCAGTAATGAACAAAATGCTTCTTGAATTGTGGAGTAAAACGGTGAATGTCCTGCTTTGTGTCCTTCCTCAAGGAGGCCACCTTCCCCACCATTGCCCTGAATGCCATGGTGGAATTTCCATTCAGTGAACAGATAACACGGTGCGCAGAGTAGGTTGTTCAAATTCTTTCTAGAATAAACATTCTAGCAATATGTGGAGAACAGTAGTTAGTGTATCCTCAGTGGCTGGTCAATAGTGTGACCTCAACCTTCTTAGAGCATAGTCAGTCCTAAAATCCCTCTGAAATCCTGGGATTCTTTGTGTATTGTGGAGCAATAGAGTTATTTAGTTGAGAGACCCGCTATGAGTAATTTTCATCAAAATTAACACTGATTGGATTGTAAGCAGTTGATTCGTGTGTCTTGTATTAGATACATTCAAATATAAATATTGTTTCTGCTACACTGCAGTTACTTCAAAATGAACCCTAATCATTTTAGCCTGTTAGAAATTTAAAGTGATCCACTGATTACAAATAGGAAATTGATACTGCTGAAAAGTGCTGGGGAGAGGCTGGAAATTAAACATTTCTGTCAAATGCTAAAGGTGGAATACAAATAAAAGTTTTTAAAAGTCATGCGAGAGCAACAGATAGTACATATCCAGGCGAACAGGTTGTGAGTGGAACAAACATCTATAGGCCACTGTTTAAGATCACAAGGTGTGCTGTGTATGAAATACTACAGAATAGGTTCTTGAGTTGTGGGATAAAACACTGAATGTCCTGCTTTGTGTCCTTCCTTAAGAAAGCCACCTTCCCCATTATCGTCTGTGGCCTCTAGAGTGTTGTATTTTTAGCACAGGGGGAGAGAAAACAGATTTGTGTTTCTAATTTTAAAATATTAGGAAAATGGCATTTGTAGGATGGCAAAAACTATTCCTTTGAGACAAACATTTTTATTTGGGGGTAAATTTCTTCAAATAGCTCTTTGATAGCATTCTGGCAGAGACTAAAGTAAACGTGGAAGAACGGATTTAATGGTGGTGGTAGTGGTAGACCAAGCCACCATTGGTGTCCTTAAGAGGCAAATGTAGACGGAGGCCCATCTGTTGTGAAGAGCACAATGACGCTTCCTAAACTTTTTTCCAAATCAGAAAGTGGAAACCGTAAACGCTTGATAGGGGGGCTGAGAGGATGGGTGAAGGGAAAATGTGGAAATTAAGCTCTGAGGCATTACAGAGCGATCGGAGCTTCACCACTTCATAGGCTCCCATGTTTGCTGCCTCTTCTGCAGCTGGGTTCCTAAGTCAGGGATCTCTATCTCTCAGCTGTGTCTTTTTCCCATTTAGCACAATACAATGGAGTCCTTGTTAGAACGAGGAGAGAAACTGGATGACTTAGTGGCCAAGTCAGAGATTCTTGGAAATCAGTCAAAAGCCTTTTACAAAACTGTAAGTATATTTGGGCCAGTGTTCTGTAATATAGACAGTGTTTCCTGTCTTCCTGCAATTATTTATGAGGCAATAAATGTATGGGTTGTTTTTAGTCAGTGGAGATTGTGGCCTGGAAATCAAATGCCGTAAGTGTCTATGGAGATTCTCAATCATTCAGGTCGCGGTTGTTCCAAAGTTGCTTTTCAAAAGGCAACTGAGCTTTCTTGTTTTTTCCCTTGAAAAGGTTTTGTTTTCACTGGTTTGAAAGAGGGGTCAGAGAGACCATCTTAGGTTAAAATTGAACAGCCCTCTCTCAACAGAGGTGGGGTGGATATGACACCATCAATCTCTTATCTATGGCACGGTCCTTTCAGCAGCCCCAAGAAGGTTCCACGGCCATTTGCACTCTGATTCAAGAGACTCTGAGGACACAGATAAACCCACAAGTGGCCTCAACAGCTCACCTTTTGAAAAGCATTTTTAGGGCAAATGCCGGGAGATAGTAATGTTAATACATCACATTTAGAGCCAAAATACAGTAGTAGTTGTTATTTATGAATATACATTTACAAAAAACTGTTACTCATTGGGAAGGTGCATAAAGATTGGTAAAAGATACCTTTGAGTAGAATGAAATTGTTACTGAATGCAAAGCTTCCTTATTATGCAGGTAGTCCTCAATTTATGACTGGTTGCTTTGTGAGCCTTAGAAGTTACAACAGATGTAGCCAGGGCTACTTACAACCCAGAATCGAAGTTCTGACAGCTGTGCCTCCCCCTGTGGTCACATGATCATATTTTAAGTGTTTGATGACTTTTTTTTTAATGATAGCTTTTATTGACATTTGAAGGATCTCACTGTCAAATGATTAAGGTACATTTTTTTTGGTCAGAAACTGGTACTTGCTTTCAGCAAAAAGTGTCCATTGTGTACACTTGCACTTGTGTACAGTGCACTTGCTTAACAACCACCACAAAAAGTTCACAAAATCATGACCCAATTCATGACCAGCATGACTTTTAGTAGTAGTCCTCAACTTACGGCCACAGTTGAGCCCAAATTTTATGTTGGTAAGTGAGACATTTGTTAAGTGAGTTTTTCCCCATTTTATGACTTTTTTCATCACATTTGTTAAGTGAATCACTGCAATTGATGAGTTAAGTGAGCCTGGCTTTGCAAAAGGGGATCACGTGACCTTGGACCATAGCAATGATCATAAGTATCAACCACTTGCCACCGCCACCTCCTCCTTCTCCTCCTCCTCCTCCCTCCTCCATATCTGTCATCTGATGTTGGCGATCACATTGGCGATCCTATTTTTATCAGCAGCCACACGAAAAAATGTTGAGTTTTGTCAAAACCAGTCCTTTAGATTTTGAAGCCCTGAGGTTCTTCTTCTACCTGGACCTTGTTTGCCTTTAATCTTTCCTGGAGGATGAAGTGAAGTATGCCGTATTTTTTCAGGTGTCACATCACATGTCCAAAATATTCTAGCTTTTGTTTTTTTATGGTTTTGATGATTTCCCTTGGCTTTCCCAGACAGCTTATCACTACCTCATTTCTAATTTTGTCAACCCAGCTTATATATAATAGTGGCCTATAAATCCACATATCAAATGGTCTTCAACTGACTTTCTGAGTCTCTTCAACTGACTTTCTGTCAGAGACCAATTCTCCACTCCATAGAGCAGGATAGAAAAGATGTAACATCTGACAAGATTTTCAATCTTAGGCTTGTGTCCTGACTGCAGAAGACCTTTTTCATTTTGCAATGCCAAGCATCTGAATTCTGATCACATGACTATGGGGATTGTTTCAAAGGTTGTACTGTGAAAAGCGGTCATGTCACTTTTTTCAGTTCTGTTGTAACTTTGAACGGTCACTAAAGGAACTGTTGTAAGTTAAGGACTATCTGTAATTCCGGGCTCCGTTACAGTTGTAAGTTTGAGGACTACCTGTAATAAGTGAGTAGAATTTGGAGAAGAGCAAGTTTAATGTTATGAGAATCATTGGCAAAAGGCCTCCCAATTTTTTTCACATCAGCGGGCAATATTAGGCATTTTGCAAATTCTGTGGTTATTCCAGCAAAATGGCTGCCACAATGGACAGTTACAAAAGCCCCCTCTTTCCAAAAGCCAGCAGGGTTAAGAAACAAAAACATGTCAAAGAATGTTACTTACAAGCCAGAGGCTGGAATCTGAAGTAAAGTTCAGATTCCTAAAAGTAAAGTTTTAATATTTTAAGCATTATTTCCACCCACACAGCCCCCCTCCCCCAGTGCACTCATGTAGATTATGATGGAAGTACCACCTTGTCTCTCATTCTGACGTTACTGGAATTTTTCATTATTAAAGAGTTGTTTGTATAATTTATGAGCAACTCTTGGAGTTTTTAAACCGAAGAGTGCCTTATAAAGGTACCCATGACCAATAATATATATAAAACTGGCATAGGAGTGCATTTTTGACACATGGATTCACAGGATAGCTCTCCATCATGGAAAGGGACTGCAGCTTCCACACTCCCCCAAGACCATGGAGACATCTCTCAATAATAAATCCTAATATAAATAATTACAGGTAGTCCTCAAGATATGACCACAATTGAGCCCAAAATTTATGTTGCTCGGTGAGAAATTTGTTAAGTAGTTTTACCCCCTTTTATGACTTTCCCCGCCCCATTTGTTAAGTGAATCACTGCAGTTCTTAAATTAGTAACACGGTTGTTAAGTGAATCTGGCTTCCCCATTGACTTTGCTTCTCAGAAAGTGGCAGAAGGGGTTTACATGACCCTGGGACACTGCAGTTGTCATAAATATGAGTCAGTAGTCAAGCATCTGAATGTAAATCACGTGACCATGGGGATGCTGCAACAGTCATAACTGTGAAAAATGGTCATAAGCTACTTTTTTCAGTGCCATTGTAACTTCGAACTAAATGAACTGTTGTAAGTCAAGGACTACCTGTAATAAGTGTGTGTTTCTTCCCACCTCTCCTGACATGGAAGGCCCGGAAGCAGAATTCATGCTGTGACATCATGTGACTCCATTCACCGTGTACCTTCACCACCGCTTTGGACTATCTGGATTGGATTGGATTTCATGACTCCTGGAGAGAGAGGCAGCAGCACCTACATGTAACTACAGCAGCAGCTGATGTTCCCAGATTCAGCCATTACAGCCACACTGGAGGCAAGAAATAGGCTACCATGTTGGGGGGCTCCATGAAATTGAAACCTTATTTGAAAAAACGAACTTTCATGGCAAGAGTGTATCTGGGATATTAGGTTGGTGACACAAAGGGAGTTGAGAATGGATCCTGGTGCTTACACACATTCCTGTTTTGGTCATTGGCTGATATCTGTGTGGGGATTTGCTGCTCTCCTTCCAAACCTACAAACAGATGTAGACTCGTGCATACTTAAGAGTAATAAAAAGAGTTTGGCCATCTGGAAATGCCTTTTTTCCAGGATTTGCATAGTGTCCTTGTGTCTTAAAATGTTGGGTGCTGATTTTTGGAAGTGAAGCAAAACCCAATCCATTTTGAACCCATTCAGAATTGTTCAAAGAACATGGATCTCTGCGTTCTGCATGAAAAAAAGAAAAAAGATCTCTAATTCAGCCCAAGAACTGATTATACTTTGTAATATAGAATTATACTTTACTCCAAAGAAGTGGGAAAGTGGTTTTAGGACTAATATGGATATGTACATGCTTTTAAGTTTTCTCTTGATTCTAGGTGGGAAACTTCTTCCCAACCTTCCCAAACCAAGAATTTGTTTTGTTTTTGCCAAGGATATAAGTAGCAGCATTTAGCTCCCTCTTTTATCCGGTATCGTTGCCACTGATCAAACCCAGGATTTCAGTTGCTCTTGGATATTCCAGTTTGTTTAGGTTGGGTTTATTGATGAAAAGCTGGTAACTCATCTAAGCTGATGGTTTGGTGATACTACACCATTCAGCAGGACGTGGAATGAATGGGGAGCTGTATTGCAATCCCGGCATACCTTCCCACTCTATGTATTATGGCTGCTGTCCTGATGATAAACCTGCCCTGGTAAGCAGCCCTCCTTGAACATGCTGCATTCAAAAGAATAAGCTGCTGTTTTACACTAGCCAATATACCAGAGCCTTGTAGAGTATGAGCTATCCTGTATTGGGTCTCAGTGTGTTCGTTGCTGCAACCACGCAGCTTGGCGTTGTCTTGTGGTGTCTTTGGCCAAGACACTATTCTCCCATGGTCGGAGAATTTGTCCCTGCTGGTTTTGTGTAAGTGTAGGAAATGTTATTTAATGCTTTTGTCTTTCTGTCAGTGGCATCTCAGCTCTAAGGCCCATTCTGTCTTTTGTAGGGTGGAGGCCAGGGTGGGTAAGGTTACCGTTCTACAGCTGTATTTCTGCCTTCCTTCCCAGTGTTTTGCTTTATTGTAAGTGGGTTGGACATGTCTGCACACCATGTCCCTTAAAGTCAGCTGATCCCCAACCAGGAGTCCTTTGTGAAGCAATTCAGCTAGGCAATAGGAAAAACATGTCACTTGGAGCTTTGCCCTTCAATGGCATGTTTGTGCACACCCACCCATGGTGGAATGATCACTCCTCCGATATATTAAGCCAGTTGGGACAGAATTCCATCTTCTAGGCTCAAGATGAAACATCTTGGGCACAGCTTTCCTAACTCTGTTGATAAACTGACATCACTCACTGAGCCTTCTCTCCATTCCAGAAGAGAGACGTAAAAAACCAGGAAGTTGTCCTTGCCCATTAGCAAGGAACCAGTTAGTGCCAAGAAGACAAAATGCCAGACTGACAAAAGGCAATTTAAGGCAAAGTTGAAGGTTCCTGATGTGACTTTGAGGAGAAATTGTATTTCTGGCTTGCATTGTTCCTTTCTTAAAATGTGTCCGTCATGCACAGTTGCATCAGCTCTTGATAACTTATTGAGCCAACTTCCGTGCAATTTATATATATTCATCAACTTAGTACAGTAAAGTGGAACAAGTCAGCAACCTGGGGTTTGAACACATTTCTGTTTGACTGGGTACTTCCTGGGACTTGACAACTTGGCTACTTTGCTTTGTGAGGTCTTTTTTGGGGGAAGACACCTGGTTGAAAGAACTCGTGCAGAGGCTGCATTGGCAGATCTGATGCAGCACCCTTGTGGTGCCAGAAATCACCAGCCTTAATTCTTTTTCTTCCTCCAATGTCTGCTTCAGATGCATCAACTTAAGGGCTGTCGTATTTTCTGTGAAGTCCATTTTTGCAGTGGTCAGTTCCTTGTGGACTGTTAACTTTCCTCCGAAAGATTAAGAGGGTAAGTGAAACACTGCAGTGAGTTTCGCTACTACTTGCTTAAAAGAAAATGAGTCCTCCTCCTCTCATTCTGTGATTTGAAATGTACAGTACTGTAGAAACTTGCTTGTGTTATATTGTTTTTGCCCCTTAGGCTCATGAATTCCTAACCTCTTTCTAATGTGGAAGCTTTTACTAAAGATTGTATTTTAATAAATATTGCTTAATGTCTGTATGTACTGGTTATTGGAATATATCTATAAAGTTGTCACTTGATCATCTAGAATTGGTTGTGTCTTATTAACTCTGTGGGGATTTTAGTTGGGGGTCATATTTCTCATAGGGGTGCAATTGTTAGATATGCTTCCAATATTGCAATATATTCTTCCAGAAAAACTGGCTGCGTTTGCATATTTTTGAACTCCATGCCTGTATGTTGTATTTAACAATGTTCCAACAATTTCTATTATGACCAAAAATTAGGGCCTCGTGTGGTAATAAGGTAGAAGGTAAAAACGAGTCCCTGCAGATTTTACTTCACCTGTTATTGCTGACTGTAGGGGACAGGATGGTGCTCATCTCTGTTTCAAGGCCATTGAACCAGTGCAGTCTGAAGACATTTCTGCTGTTACGTGACCAGCATGACATCACAGAACACTGTTACCTTCCCACCAAGTTGGCAGGAGCTGGGGCAAAGATGGGAAGTCATCCCCAATGCATGGCATCCAAGGCCTGAATTTGAGCTGCTGGCTTTTCCAGCCGACAAGGCCAGTGTCTTACCTGGTGAGCCACCCCATGAGATAATAGAGTTCCCTAACACCCAAACTATGAAACAACCCTATTTTAGCTGAATATTTTATTGTGCCAATCTAGCTGAGGATTGCTTTGAAAAACAGTATTTAAACCTTAAAGCAGCTTGTTCCAATACCCACCAGGTATTTTCTATGATCATATGTGATAAATAAGGGAACCAAGAACTATAACCTGAAGCTGAATGACACTCAAGCAGATCTGGCCTGTCTGTCAAATGATCCACGAAGAATGAATATCTTAAATTGCTGCATTTAATGTTATATTCTCAATGGGATCTAGTGCAGCTAGCCCAACCTTAGGAATCTTCTCCTCTCACAGAGGCAGAGCAGGTCAAAGTCTATTTAGATCCTCCACAAATAAAATTTCCTGCAGGAGGCTGGGACACTGCACAAGGCTTCACTTGAAAGTACTCATCAATTCAAGCTTTCCTGGAATGATCGATATTATTCTGATCAATACAGGTAGTCCTCGCCTTACAACAGTTCATTTAGTGACTGTTCAAAGTTATAGTGGCACTGGAAAAGGGATTTATGACCATTTTTCACATGACCATTGCAGCATCCCCATGGTCATGTGATCAAAATTCAGATGATTGGCAGCTGACTCATATTTATGACAGTTGCAGAATCATGTGATCACCTTTTGCAACCTTCTGACAAGGAAAGTTAATGGGAAAGCCAGCTTCACTTAACAACGGTGCTACTGATTTAAGAACTGGAGTGATTCATTAAACTGTGGCAAAGTCTTAAAATGCTCGAAAACATGTACGCAGATTTCAAGTGTGTATTGCAAACAAAGAATATTTTCCTTTACTTCCCTAGGAAGGCTGACAGCTGCATTTTTATATTAAAATTGACTTGGTAGCATGTAGAAAGCAGGATACGGAAAAAAGAAAGCTTGTTATAAAAGCTCAGAAACACACTCAAGACATTTCCCCCCCTAATGTTTCTAGTCCTCTTTTCATGTTTGGGTGTGTGCATGTGTTTCTTTTTAAATTTTATTTTATTTGCAGTTCTCTGAGACAAAAACAAAGTCAGAATTGGTTGGGGGTTTTTTTTACACTTACAAGGCTCAGAAAGAAAAGACAGTGAAATGGTAAGAAAAGGAAAGGGAAAGTTAAGTCAGAAGAAAAAAGATCCACCAGCATTCATAGAACAGACTAACAGCTCAGCTTTGCTTTTAGTTCTCACTAGAGAT